GTAGCAGCTTAATGCTGCTCTGTTTCGTATAATAAGTGTAGAGAACCAGAGACCCTTTTTAATTGAAACGAGACATTTTTAGTCCTGACGGGTGACAATGCATCTGCTTTATTATCTCTCATTTTAATCTTAATCAAGGTTAGATGTAAACGTCTATGGGCTACAGCATTCACATACCATCAGATGGATTGTATGTCTGTTTGTCACCCTTATTCTAAATAATCATTAGATACAAACTTTACTATGCAAATAGAAATTCCAAGCGGTATAACACCAATTGCGTAACGCGAATCCGAGTTTACATTAACATTCATTAAATACCTACGTTCTCAACTTAAATTTAGAGGCGACAAACAAAAATAGAGCGATGTATTAAGAGGATTTACGAGACAAATATATGTAAAGTTTGCCAGATATATTATATTTGGGGTTGGTCCCAAGATGAGAGGGGGTATACGTGAAAACATTCAGCTACGTGCCTTAGCATAATGCCTTCCAAAGGGCGCAAAGGATGCTAAGCTTCCGTAATTCGTCTTCCAGGAATCCCTAATTTGAAATGTGGATGAGTTTCGAGATGCTAGGCTGTTGAATAAAGCCGGTTCAAGCCGGCGGCCATTTTCCTAATTGAAGTCAGTTTTTTCCATATATTCATGTTTTGGTTGTATTTACTAATTGCTTTTCTATTTACGAAGCACAATATCATGGGCTATAGATATTTTAAAATAGTTTTCTGCTATTTTTTACTAGATGACCTTTTTGGTTAGAATTCCGTCCAGGCTGGTATCATCCATTATACTTATTTCTGCCGCGAAGCAAAATGTATCGAGTTTTGTGTCCCAGTTTAAAGGTTTGACATTGATTGACAGGATTTATGTAAAAGAAACCTAGAGAGTATTACTTATTTCGTCAAATTTTCTTACTTTAGACTTTAGCGTTACTTATATAGCTTAGTTCAAGCCTCTTCTTAGTTATAAGAGGTTTATAGACCAATTATTGAAGTTATTTAGTAAGTAATTTACATATCCTCGAAACATTTAATTATTCAAACATAATATAGGTTTTTAACGATGTCCTCATTGACTAAAAAGCACATAGTAACTGAAGACTTAAAATTCAAAAAACAATTTCAGTTTCATCGAACTCTGTTTACTCACATTTGAAATGAACTTAGACCCTAAACTGTTACGACGATATTAGACAAGTTACATAATATGATATCGCTATTATATTTCTACATAAGTTATAAATTATTTCTACATAAAGAATAAAAATGAATTTTCTTTAATATGGCGAAACAAGTGTAAAATAACGCGCCAGCGTAAGTTTTTCTTCATTAAAAATCCCGCAACGTTCGTGGATTTAAAATTTTCGCTTCAAAGTTGTTAGGAGATTAGCGACAAAGCGGCAGAGATATCTTAAATGTGGATCTGTTGTAAACAAATTCGCGCGCGCGCCACCTCGATTTATGTGTTTATTTATCATTAACAAATTATTAAAGAGCGCGAGGATTTTAGCGTTTTTTGTCGCCTACCTTTTCAGCGTTTAATTTAGCAGCTCCGCCTACAGCTAAATAGCGTTACGTATTAGATGTTTATCGCAATTCCACAATAATTAAAGCGTGAAACCTCACAAAAACACGTATGGTGTTTTGTAATAAAAAAAGTAATTGAGGCTTGCGATTAAAAGTAAAATTTTACATGTATGTTATTAACATTACCGTTAGGGTTACAGCATATCAAAAGTCAACTGCTAAATATATACTATCCCACAAATTGTTTGGCAGGCGGGTTGGCAACCGTTTGTTTTTAAAATCTCTTAGTTGTTATTAGGAAGACGCTACTGTCCATCTCCTGGTTTGTTTTTCCCCGTCGCTTATGCGATACCCACGGAACGGTATGAGGTAGTGGATATTCTTACACCGACAGTGCCCACACGGTTTCATATTAAAAACCAATAAAACATTACAATCCGTCTTTATTATTAAGTAATGTAAGTTGTCGTCGGGACGACTGTACGAGTTTAATTTTCTACCGCCTTCAAAAAGAAGGAGGTACCTACTCAATTCGGTTGTATTTTTTTCTTTTTTTATGTGATTTCCGATTTTGATGATTCTTTTATTATTTGAAAGCTGGTGCTTCTCATATGGTCCCATATAAATTTGATTAAGGTTAACCAATGGTTTTTGAGTTTATATTGAATGAAACAAATTTATTTACGGATTTTATCGCCTTTAATTTAACTTTTTAATTCCCGACGTTTCGGGTGCTTTACAGCACCCATGGTCCGTGACCAGTTTCATTTAATGTGTAGTCTTTGCGTAAATATAAGAAATCATTATTATTAAGCATTTATATTGAAGTCAGTTGTACAAAACTTTTAATTTTAAATTATTTGTGTTTGCATTGTGCAAAAACATTTAATGCTCCATTTTGTGTTTGTATTCTAGTAATTTAATTCGGAACAGTTGCGCTAAGGAAAGTATAGTTTGAATTACTCAGGGGGGGTTTAAGGTAAGGTCGTATTTTTTAAATTATAGTAATAACAACCAAATGCAATGAATTAAAATTTCATTTAAAGTGTGTCGTTAATAACAGTACTATTGTAGCGTCACATAATCCATTAAAGTATCCTACATGGTAGATAATTTAGCCTAGATAAATGTCTATTTACACGTATCTTTATATAATTGAAATATTTCAATGTCATATATGAGAAATGTAGATGCTTTCTTTTGTGTGGGTAACACAAGGAACTACGAACATAGATTTAATAAAATTACAAAATACTCGTAATAATAACTTTTAACAAAAAGTAAAAACCGACTTTAAGTTGCTAAAAATTTAATTATTTATTTTCTAACTTTAGGGGTGAATAATCAAAATTGGTTCACAATCTGCGAAGATATTACGTAACATACATACAAAATAAATATACACCCGAATTGAGAACCTTCCCCTTTTTGAAGTCGGTTAATAAAGAAAACAATAAAAGGCCGGGGAATTGTGAAATCTGCTAATTGGGTAATTTGAAATTAGGGTGGAGTCTTGTTTGACCAAAATAGTTTCTGGGATTTGAGAAAGTCTAGGTATACCCAGATGTGAAATCTATATAAATTTTACTCTTTTGCCCAAAAATATATGGTCTCTAACATATTTGTTAGTCTACATGTAGGTATCAAAAAATTAAAATAGTTATCAGCATGTAGTCCAATAAAAGAGAGGCCTAAAATTTGTTTTCCCTTGAGGGAAAAGCCCTTAAAGTAGACACGAATGTACAAATACACGCCGTTAAGGTTGAACAATGCTCCGTCCCATCTGCTCCCACTTCCCAGATTCAATTAAATTTTTACTGAAGATTATCACGCAGACATAAAGTAAGAAAAGTTGCTATCGCCTATTACGTGTCCTGTGTTATTTTATTAATTTTTAAATCAATAACTTTTAGTTCCATTACGTATTAACAATTTTGTAACATAGTCTCTCATATAACTGACATTATATTACATAATACTAATTGTATTGATTGGATGTTATTCCTACTCCAAATTAATCCAAAACTATGTTTGCATGACATCTTAGATTAAAAAGGTTAAGTTTGTATACTTTAGATTGTGAAACTTGATAGCTAAAGTAGTTTGGTGGTCTAATGTTTCATTATTTCTTCAGAGATATAAAGAGAATTTGTCTTGATATGCGTCATAGAGAAATTTTATCATATATATGTCTTATATTAACAAGAAAGGCTAATTCTGTTTGAAGATAAATCCGACTGTGTGAAAAAAATATAAATATTACCCAATATACGATTATATAAGAATTTCACCACAGCTTATTACATTTTTGAAAATTTAAGCGAGAACATTTAGGATCTATAACGATTTAAAGTTGGTTAGCTACTCAGCAACTTTAAGTTAACTAAAAGTTCATTCGAAATGAAAAACAACTAGAAAAACCTAAATATGATTTTAAAAGAACTAATCAATGATACCCTACTTGACATAGTTCGTCGACTTTTTTGTTTTAAGCAATATGGCGTCTGTACGTTGCCCTATTAAATTTTGATTATTATCATATATTTAGTGACACTCACAAGATTAAGACAAATCGACTGACGTATTAATTATCAAAATTGGCCCACGTGTTTCATTTCTAGGGCGCCATAAAGGAAAAAACACACGCAATTGGGTAAAAAAAAGACTTATTTTCACTTCTTACTAAGTATTCATTACACATAGCGGAGTAATAGGACTTTACGATAAAAATACAAATTATAATCTTTCTTAAATCTAAAATTAATCCACATTTTTTTTGTGATTTATCATGCAATCAGTCGATGGACTATGAGCAGATTGGTTGTAGGACAGATTGGCGTGCAGAGAAAACTTCCCCAGCGGGAAGCACTCCATAAGTCTCAGCTATACATTGTCAAGTATATGCCTTCTCTTTAGGCGACGAATCGCTTGTGGCATTGCTTGTGGCTTGGATAGTTGCCAAGTCTTGTTTTGTAGTTGCAGCTGTAGCGCCTAATTTCTTCCTTAACTGAGTTCATTTTAAGGTGTTCATGGATTTCAGATGTTCTTATGAACCATGGTGCGTTTGAAAGTTGTTTAAGTATGTAGTTTTGGGTTCTTTGAATGATTTCGATGTTGGAGTCACATGCTGATCCCCAAAGTTGTATGCCGTATGTCCATATCGGTTTTATAATGATGTTATATAGCAGGAGATTATTGTCTAAGGAAAGTCTGGAATTCCTTGCGAGCATCCAATACAGTCCTCTGTATCTATGGTAGATCTCATCCTTTTTGGTTTGGATGTGCTTCTTCCAAGTGAGCCTTCTATCCAAGTACATGCCCAAGTACCGAACGTTGTCACCTTGCGGAAGCAAATTGTTACGCAATGAGACAGGCGGACAGTTTCCTCGACGCAAGGTAAACGTAACATGGACTGATTTTGTGGCACTAGCCTTTATTTTCCACTTTGATAGCCATTTGTCAATCTCATCTAGACTATGTTGTAGGATTGCTGAAGCATCGTCAGGACTTCTACTGCAAGCAAGAACATCAGTATCATCCGCAAAGGTAGCCACAGTGACGTTATCAATTTGTGGTATTTGGTCATTTGTGTAAATTGTATAGAGCACAGGACCAAGCACTGAGCCTTGTGGCACACACCTTCCTTCCTATCGGTCAGGTAAGACTTCAGTAATCCGAAGAATGTATGAGGTAAAAGAGATTTAATTTTAAATAGTAGCCCTGTATGCCAAACCTTATCAAAAGCCTGCTGCACATCCAGGAATGCAGAGGAGCAGTACTCTTTATGTTCTAGTGCATCTCTGATTGTTCTGCAAACCCTATGTACCTGTTCAACCGTACCATGATCCTGTCGGAATCCAAATTGGTGGTCTGGAATGATACTTCTTTTACGGAGTTCTTTCATAAGCCTTTGCAACAATACTTTTTCACAAACTTTTGATGTTACTGGTAACAAACTGATTGGTCGGTATGAGGTTATTTCATGAACAGGTTTACCAGGCTTCCCTATCATTATAATTTGTGAAACTTTCCACAGTGCTGGGAAGTAGCCAACGCGAATGATTCCATTAAACAAAATGGTGAGGAACACAATACCTTTTAATAATTAAAATTAATCCACATAGAAAAATAAATACCTAACGTATTGCGTTAGGTTAGAACGTACAAGTGATTGAAAGATATTAGTCGGCTATTGCCATACTTAATAAGGGTACCGGTGTTTTCCCGAAGCGCGCCTCGTAAATGAAAAATAAACACGCGTGGAGAGGTTTATGCGACTTGTGATGTCACACGTATTATCATTGTTTGTGAGTTCGCAGCCGTGTTTCCTTCAATTTAGTAGTTAAACAGGCTACGTGTCGGCTTATTATTATGATCCTTAGAGCTTCGCAGCGAGCTTTAGTGTATTCAGAATTAAAATACCTTAAGACGTTTTATTCATTTATTCTTCTACCTGCAAGTTGGTGAATAAAAAATTCCTTTATATAAAATTCGTGTAGTGGCAGTGTAAGAATATCCACTATCCCATATCGTCTCGTGTGTGTCGTAAGAGGTGACTGACGGAAACTAATCAGGAGATGGGCAGCAGCGTCTTCCTAATAACGACAAAAAATTGAAAAACTGCAGTTGCCAGCCCGCTTGCCCAGCGTGGCAACTATGGCAGATATCCCTCCTATGACGCAATCTATGAGGTAGGTTTATGTTCAGCAGTAGACTTTAATAGGCTGTAAAGGTAACGGTATAAAATGCGGCACGAAACGCAAAATACGGCTTTAGTATAGTTACTACCTGTTTAATTCCTATGTTGAGTAGGATACTATTGAGCGTTGTAAGCGTGAAAAGAAGCCGTCAGGGCATTCATTATCGTTCCGTTTGATGATGGTGTTCCCATGCCAGAAAACGGAGCCACTCGTGATAACTCGGAAGATGTCTTGAATCATCGTGATATCTCTGAAGCGAAAGTTACTCTTGTTCATTGGACCACGCAAATAATTTAAAATGAAAAATTTTGTACAATCGACTTCAATATAAATTATTAAGAATAACTCAAAAACTATTGGTCAGACATTGATCATATGGATACGAGAAGCACCAGCTTTCAAATAAAAAAGAATAATCGAAATCGGTTCACTCAGTAAAAAGTTATGAGGTATACACATAAAAAACATACAGTCGAATTGAGTACCTTCTCCTGTTTGAAGTCGGTAGAAAAGTACCTACCTGCTTCTGCTTTGCACTTTTCAGTTACATTAAATATTTATAAAACACTATTATTTTCATTTTATCGATAGTCTTTGTACTTGAACGTGATACTAAACTAATACTAATAAATCAAAATTCTATATTTTATATTTATTATACATCGCCAAAAAGAATGAAGAGATATCAATATTGTTTCAACGTAATAAATTAAGATTTTCGTCTTGGTTTCATTTACTTCTATTTCAAAAGGAGGTACTTCTGCAAAGGTTTCCTGCATCCTACTAATGGTGGAGGTTTATTACCAACAGATGACGTACTGCATTCAAAATAACTAACTAGTGGCGAGTATTATAGTGGTAGTACGAATGGGTTGGCTCGACCGGGGAAGGACCACGCTCTCACAGAATACCAGCGTAAAATAGCAGCTTAACACTGCTGTGTTTGGTATGGTAAGTGTAGAGAACTGGAGACCCTTTTTACTGGAAAAGAGGCATTCCATCTTAGTCCTCACGGGTGACAATCCATCTGCATTTTGATTCGCAAACGAGGATAAATGTAGATGTCTATGGGCCACAGCAACCACTTACCATCAGGTGGACTGTGTGCTCGTTTGTCACCCTATCCTATAAAAAAACGTACAGCGTAGAAAACAGGGATGAGAATCATTTACGACATAGATTAATGATAAGTCATCGCGCGCTCTGACTAGATACCACCGGCGCTTATGTAAAATGCGGCAACAAATACTACGCCGAAATCGGTGTACCCGAGCCAGTCGCATTGCAGACAACGCGTGAGGTGAACGTACCGAATGTTTATTAAATTTTGATCATAATCCGAAGTAAAATACCAGTTTACGAATTGAAACTGTGTAAAAATAATACTACAAGAAATAAGAAATACACTGGAATCACATACTATCATTAAGTATCATACAATTTCGAAATTTTAACATAAAATCACACGAGCCATAAATAAGTCACAAAATATCAATGATGCTATTCAATGTTGCCGCGAATGCAAAAATAAAGTTCCCCGTGGCTAAGATTTTTATATGTGAATTTATTGTTACTATATTTTATAATATAATATATTTAACTTAACTATAACCTAATTCAATATTATTTAATGTTTATTTCTGTAGTATTGCTCAAATGACATAATTGCCGTTTATTAGGGTTCCGTACCCAAAGAGTATCAACGGGACCCAAGTCTCCACTATCGTTCCGTCTATCTGTCAGTAGGCTGTATCTTATGAACCGTAATATGTAGAATTTTCACAGAATGTGTATTTATATTGCTACTATAACAACATAAAATAAAAAAGAAAACAAGTAAAATATTAAAGGACCCAAAAAAATCACGTTTCTTGTTTGAAAACCATACAAGAAACGTGATTTTTTTCTGTACTGATATGTGTTTTGTTTACAGACTAAAGCGAAACCTGGATTAACACGCAATAAAATGATGCTGTGTGTATGGTGGTATTGAAAGTTTATCATGAGCTTTTACCGCCGGGTAAAAACATCGATTCGGATCTCTACTACCAATAAATAATGAGACAAGCAAGAAATAGAAAAAAAACACGGCTGGCATTGATAATCAGAAAAGGAGTGGTCTTTCATCATGATAACGCCAGAACACAAGATTAGTTATCTGTTTGAGACTTTTAAAACACACTAACATTCCTAAAATTCCAGTATTTGTTAGAGTACTTAAAACTGGTTTAAAAGTTTTAGTCATTATTTTCTTTTGTTGCTTGTGTTCTTTATAAGAAAGCTTTCTGGAGGTTTTAATATTTAAGTTTATAATTTTTTTCCATTATAAATAGGATGACTAAATCCATGTTGCTTCAAATCTCTGGTATTGAATATATCAAATAAAACTACTTGTCGCATTTTTTTAATCAAAATCCCAAGATTTCTACAGCAACGTTTATTTTTTATTATGTCACTACCTACAAGATGGCAACAAATTATCGAACAGAATGGACCCATATATATTATAATTAAATGTAATAAAACTTTAAAACAAAAACGTCTTGAATTTGTATACAATATACGAAGAAAATTTTTCCTCGGTCTTATATACTAACTAAAGGTGTAACAAAATAGTACTTAATAACTTAGGGAATGATTCTGCCCGTCAACATGAATATTTTTTATTATGGCATCATTTTCGAAATTTTCAATGCATACGTGATAGACCCATACTGCAGCTATATTACTGGTATAGTTGTATCACGAATGGTTCAGCTCGACCGGGGAAGGACCACGCTTTCACAGAATACCATATAATAGGAGCTTAACGCTGCTGTATTTCCTATGGTGAGTGTAGAGAAAACCGGAGACCCTTTTTACTGGAAACGAGGCATTCCATCTTAGTCCTCAGGAGTTGCAACGTATCTTTTTTATTCTTAACCGAGGATAGATGTATATGTCTATGGGCCACAGCAACCACTTACCATCAGGTGGACTGAGTGCTCGTTTGTCACCCTGATCCTATAAAAAATATCTCAAAGTCAGTTATTCCATACAAAATTTCGTACAAACTTGCTCAAAATGTATGGAAGACCTGACTTTTCTTGCGATTTGAAAGATAGATCTAAAGTAAAAGTTGTTCATATTGACCCGTAGAATAGAAAGCACTATTTTGATTACACCATATATATAACTATTTTTTTAAATAATTTTTGAATATTAGTTGAACATGTAAATAAAAAAGTTAAACTAATAAAAAGGCGGCCTTATCATTTATATGTCATTTATTCAGAAGAAAAACCTATACATAATATACACAAAAATACATTCGTTATTAATAAACTATTCATTTTTAAGTATTTTTGGAATACATTCATAACTATGAACTTAACTACTAAGCCATAGCATAAAATAAATTTTCCCGTTAATCGAGTAATAGTTAAGCTGCTGGCATATACAATTTTTCACGCACACTAGCATCATGCAAATTGTCTTATACACACTACAATATTAAGATGCCGCACTCACGGAGCTGTTACTTGCTGGTAGCGCGGTATCTAGTCAGAGCGCGCGATGACTTATCTTTAATCTAAGCATTTACGAGTAAGTCAACATTGTAAGCATGTTGATTTGTAAATATTAAAAAAAAACATTGCTTTGTAGTGGCGGCGAAAAAGAACCGCAAAAGCGTAAGAGGCAACAAAAAGATACTGAAACAAGAGATGGACAGCAGGATCTTCTTGGTAACAACCGAAACTAATAAAAAAAACTGCGGTTGAAAACCTGCCTGCCAAACGCCACACTTTACGCACTAACTATGGATTAATCCCCTCTATGCAGCAATCTGTCTGAAGGCCTACGTTCAGCAGTGGGCTTTTGATAGTCTTTTGTGAATTTATAAATGAAATAGACAAAATTTTAAGCCAATGGTGCTTCAAGAAATCAGTGTCAAGTAGGGTCTATCTTACATTGTGCGATCTCTTATTCCTTATCTTCCATACCCTTTTACTGGAACATTTAGTTACCTTTACTGAGCCCTTTTTATTGGAAACGAGGCATTCTATCTTAGTCCTCACGGGTAACGATGCATCTATATTTTGTTTCGTAAACGATGATAGATGTAGATTTCTATGGGACACAGCAACCACTTACTATCAGGTGGACTGTGTGCTCGCTTGTCACCCTTATCCTATAAAGAAAACCTTCTTCGATCACATGAAGAGAAGCGGGGATGAATTCGTGAAACACGCAGTGGCAACATTTGAGATTGAATTAGAATGCGTGGCAGATCACTAATGAGAAATACTGAGCATATTAAAGTCACGACATA